ATGCAGAAAGACAGAGCAGCAACATCTTTAAAGTACAAATGAAAAAAAACTCCCGACAACCTAGGATTCCATACCCTGGGAAAATATCTTTTGAAAACAAAAGTAAATAAAACACATTTTCAGACAGACAAAAACTAAAAGAATTCAGCAGCAGCAGAAGCACACTGGAAAAAAATGTTAAAACACATCCTCTGGGAGCCAAAGAATGACAGATAGAAATGTGGGACCACAAAAAGAAAGAAAATACCAGGAATAGAATCTAAATGGATGTATATGTGGGTTTTTCAATTATTTTTCTCTTTAAAAGATAATTAACTGTTTAATAAAAAATAAGAGTCAAGGAAGGGCAGAGGAAGAGGGAATCTGGTCAGCCACTTGTTTGCAAAGATTTACTTACTAATGTCATTCAACTGATGGGAGGAGGGCCAGGAATATAAATCAGGTTTCCTGATACCCTGTCCAGATTTTGAGCTCCCTAGTTGAAAGATGAGAGATACAAAGCTCCTTTCTAACAGGTAGAAAAGTTACTCTTTTTCTGGTTTTCAGGTCAAATACTTTCCTTCTCCCTCTTCAGGACTTCCTCTAGCCATTCCTTGCTCACTGCCCCCCACCCCTACCCATTATAATATTTGCACAGGGCTTTATAGCTGCCAACCCTCCCATGTCTGTTACCTCACTTGATCCCAAGAATGCCGCCAGTAAGTCTGTAGATCAGGAATTTGCATCTTCTTGATTTTAGATGCAGGAACTGAAATTCACATCCCAGTTAAATTTCCCAAGATGAGAGAGTAATATCCTGGTGAAGTGGGGAATTTAATTTCAACTATCCAGATCCACTGCTCATTCCACCAGCCCATTCTGCCTCACTCCTATGTTTGAATTTCATGGTCTTTGGCAACATTCATCTTGCTTCTAAATTATTTCCTCATAATTAAAGTCATGACTTTTATAAAAAAACAAAGCAACCTCAGACAAGCAAAGGTACACCTTTTTCGTTCATACAACTCCTGGGCTTACTTACAATGCATTTCTTCTCTGAAAGCAAAAGGAGACCTGCAAATGGCACACCAACATTTGCCTACAAGGAGCATTGTAACAACTAGACTTAGAACAAAGTTCCAA